TAGTTGCGGTGCACCTGGGTAGAGGTACCCTGCACTCCCGGCAAATGCCAAGCGGAATCGACGACCTGCAGAAGTGCCGGCCGAGCCGAGCCAAGCTGAGATTTAATAATTGCCCCGAAGATCTGCTTATATTTATTCATATTTGTATGTCGTTTGAACAAATACGGTTATACGAAAATCTTTTGCACATTAGAATATTCTGCTTGCCTGTTTGCACGCTGCCGTTTCTTTCAAGAATTTCTGGAGATGCGGTTCAAAAGCATCTAATAAGTGAATGACAAAGAGCCTAAGTTTTAAGTCATTTGTATCATTTGTTAGGTACTTTTACTTAAGTTCATGTGATGCAGCCACATGCAGCTTTTCGAAGTTCGCTTTCCATCCGAGCAAAGTAATGCAAAATCGTCTCATCATTATCATTTGAAACTTTGAGTTATATGTTGACGGGAAATATAACCTCAAAATTTCGGCTTTCTACCTTTTCTCGTTCCCGGGTTATCAATTTTCCCGCCAAAACTTCCGCCTCCTCGTACGTGGGGCCAAAACTTGCGTGAGGGTTGGTACCGCGGTTCTGGGGTAGCACTTAGCTTTTGTTATCTGGCTGAAAAATGCAGCATAGCGTCGCCTTCGCCAACCGTGCCGAGTACCTGAATTTAGTGGTGATTTTAGCTGACTCCCGTATATCAATTGTGTTTTTTAATCCGTTACACACAGAGAAGTACTGAGATGTATTTTAGTTGTTGGCACGCGTGTTGGATGGCAACAAACGAGTGCAGGAGGCGGCCTGCTCAGCTTTTGCAACACTGGAAGAGGAAGCAAATGTGGAACTGGTCCCATATTTACCGGAAATTCTTGCAACTTTGGTGGAAGCTTTCGACAGATACCAGGTAGCTGCATACTTCAGCAGCTCTTTTTACTTTTGTACGCCAGATATTGTTCAGAAAGAAATTACAACTGTATTATTTAGGCAAAAAATCTGCTCATTCTTTACGATGCAGTGGGTACACTGGCCGATAGCGTTGGTCCCAATTTGAATGAACCGCATTACGTCGAGGTTGTTTTGCTTTCCACAAAAATCTCCATGGCTTGCTTGTTGTTGAGCAGCAGTCAAGCAGAGTGTGCGTTCGTTTCAGACAATAATGAGACCATTGATGGCGAAGTGGGCATCTCTTGGTGACGACGATAAGGAGCTGTTCCCTCTGCTGGAATGCCTGTCCTCCGTTGCAACCGCGCTTCATGAAGCATTTCTCCCATACTGCGAACCTGTTTTTCAAAGGTTCGAATGTTTCGTGCATGGAATTTTTAAATATAAAAGAAAAAAATGGCACTGCGGAGTATAAGCAGTTTTTAGACTTGAAGTCTCACGGGTTTTCTGCCAAGACCGTAGTCTTTACCGCATGTACG